CCAAATTTCCCATTGATATCCTTGCGAATTCGGTCCAACTTCGTTTCGAAAGTCGGCTAAAATTTTAGACTTTCATCCAACCCTTCGGTTTGACAACGCATTAACCTCTCCATATAATTTTCGGTCAGTAGTCCGAACCGACCGAACTCAGACGGTTTGGTTCGCTTACACACCAAACTACGTGGTGATGATGGTAACGGAAGTGGAAGATATCCAAATATTTACTTTGGAATTGTATCAGTAATATTTAGCTAAAACGCAAAGCAATTATCAGACAGATTGAGCAAAATAAATATTCAGTTTGTAAAACATATTCATCTTGTACAACTGAATATGTTTTACAAGCTGAATCGAGCTCGTCTCTATCTAAATTTAAAGTACATCCATAGCCCATTCGTACGGATATTCAATACACGTAATGAAATGATCAGCAATTAACGATACATCGCCGTTAGCAGCAATTGGGTCTCTCTTACTCAGCAAGTTGAAGATTGGTATAAGACTAGTAACATATAATAACTTATATCCATATTTATAAATATTAAGGATACTGATTACTCATATGATGTATGATGAGATTTGAAAGTGATGTATAGTTCTCTTTTATAGTTTAAATTGTCACTGTTTCGATGTCACATCTTTTTGGGATTTTTGAGGCCCACCAGATTTTGTTACATAATGTTGATATTGTGTAGGTTTGTTATTTTAATTTTTTAAATGTCGGTTCATAGACATGTCTTGATTTTCTTCCATCAGACTACTGTTATCTAATACAGGATTTTCGAGAATGAAAATCAGATAGATCGTCTACAGTGATTTGAGCTTTTTTAACTTAGTTGATACGACGGAGCTGGAGACGGTAAATTATATTTTTGGAATTATATATTGCTGCGATAATGTAATAATACTATCTATGGATTTGCCTTTGATCCTTACTTTTATTCAAAATGTTTTTGACAATTTTCACAGAACTGACCTTTGAAAATATACGCTCTACATCCGTATTTTGCATTAACCCTTCTACGTCCCTTGATTTGTGTCCTTCTTGGGTCCCTTTGAGTCAATAGGTAGATATTAAATATATAATTTTCCTATTTTACAAAGAAAATTCATTGTTTCATGCATTATAAAAAATATGAAAAGAAAAAATAAATAATCTAATCAATTATCAAAAAAGAAAAATAATAAAATTGAAATTTAAATCCTTTTTTAATTGATAAAAAATATTATATTTTAAAACTAACGTAACATTTTAAAAAAAACAACGCATTTTTTTATAAATTACTCGGTATTGTATTATTTCGTTTTAAACACTGTGAATCATCTATAAATGTGAATAGACACGTGAAGTTGATAACGCAATCTTGAATACCATCAACACGTTTCATACAGTACAGCTTGAGCTTGAGTCGAACTTGGATTGTTCTAGTGTTTATTCGCATATGCATTACCGTATTTACTTTAAAACAAAAACTACTTTTGCCTAATAGTGCCTCTCTGGTTTTTCCTTTTCATTGCAAAATTCAGATCACTACGCTCTTAACGAAAAAGAAAAATAATATCACAACCATATCATCTTCGTGTCAGGAAAGCAAAAACGCAATAACTTTATTTTAACTTTTCAAAAAACCTAACTGCACAACAGCGTAAATAGTTTTGCAATGAACTTTAAAATTATTTTGTTGTTGCAAAATACAAAACATGTATTTATCTAATAGTGGAGATGAGCGTTTTGCATGTAGCTAATATGACAAGAACTAGTGACGATGGTCTGACGTATTCAATGACAAGTGACGAGTTTTGGATGAGCCAGTCATATAACGCACTTATAACCATTTTCATGTCCCTTCACTTGTTATGCGTTCGTTAACGAAATCAGCATAACCGTGGAAATCTTCATCGACGGTGCCTTGTCTATTGATTGCAAAATGTTAAATACTTTATGTATATATACAGTCCAGCGATTGCTTGAAGTGTTGAGAGATTTTGACCTACAGCTAACAATCATACATGCAGGGGAGTATTAAAATTAAATATTTTAGGAACTATTCCTCTGCATTTTAAAATTTAAAATTCAAATTCCAAAAATGTATATTTTTGAATTAAAAATAGTTTAATGAAAGTTAATTGTTTGTTCACAACAAATTTGTATGTTGTTGTTGTTGTAGCAGCTCATACTGCCGTGTTCGATCTGACTCTTCTCAATCGGGTTATGCCTCTAAGTCAAGTCTGACAAAGGATGCAATCTGTACGGGTTGGGTCTACATCGAGACTTGAGTTAAGTGAGTAGGTTTGGCTGAACAGCGAAAAAGATGCTGCGTGTCATGTGGTTCTGTGCCACAAGCTGGGCAGATGTTTTGCACATCGCTGTCGATCCGAGCCCAATGGGAATTGAGGCGACTGCACCATCCGGATCTTAGTTGAGCCAAAACTACTCGGGTTTGTCGGGCAGCTCTCGCTCTTCAGCTGCGATGGAAGGGGGGTAATCTCCTAATACAGTATTCACTCTATATCCTTCAATAACTTCTGAGACCGCGTTAGAGTGAATACTATTCAGTCCCGCCTGATAGGCCTGTTGATCTAGAGGCTCTCTCTTATACCTTTGTACCTCTCTCTCTAGATCATGAAGGTCTTTCCTTACGTGCCTGGGCGGAGGTTTCCTATCCACCAGGTGGTGATTCGGATGGCTCTGTCGCTAACACCCAAGCAGGTTTTGCATTGACAGCATTTTATTATGCTGTCGCACCGGTAAGACCTTCGCCGCCTCATGTAGATGATCGACAGGCGTCATGAGAAGGTACCCTGTTGCGGTTTTAAGGGCGGCATTCTGCACCACACCCGAGTCGCATAGTTTACCACAAACTGGCCTATCAAGTTTTAAGAGGTCAACAAGATTTCGTTATCAGCTCCCCAAGTGCTGCCGGCAAGAGACTTGAGAACCTTGTTCTTATTACTAATCCTATCGCAGATAACTTTGGTATGCGCGGGCGACTTGAAAAGGCTATCGAATGTGACCATAGCACCTTGGGTTAGTTGGTGGTCGGAATTACAACTCAATCGACCTGCACATTCAAAGATAGCCTCTTTTGTACTTTTGGTATTAGTAAATATACATTTTACTGTACTGTATTTCTGTGTTGCTATTTGCAATTTATCCTTGTCACATAAATCGTTTTTTAATGTTTCTCAGATTTGTCCCCTTTTTTGTATGTTACATTTATTTATTTGGTTTTCAATTAATAATTTTGGAAAACCGTTTTTGTCAGTATTTTCTCGTATTTTGTTTTTATTACTTTCGTGGAATTTATTGTCACTTATGTTCGATATTCTGTTCATAAGGTTCATTTTGTTTTAGGTGTTTCGAGTGGAAATTTAATATGCGACTAGATGCCGTCGGTTTTTGATACCAGTTCATTTCTACGTTGTTGTCTTGTCCCCAAATTTAGTACCTAGATTGCAATAGCAATCTTATTTCTGAATTTCATTTCTATCAGTTTAGCCAAATCAAAATTGTACCAAATCTAGTACTTTTAGTGCACATAAGTACAAATTTCGAAAATCAATCCTACACACCACCAGTAATGTTAATTTTTAAATTTCAAGATGTCAGCTCCATCCGATCCTCCAAATTCTAATTGTATACATGAGTTTATACTTCCAATACTACCTCCTTATATCGACTCTACTTCTTAACCTTGATTCCCATTCCAAAATTCAAGTTTTTAGCTCTAACCGTTCACATGATACGAAATGGTAACAAATGTAGTACATATTAGTACTTTTCGCACAATTATAGAGCAAATTTCCAAAAACTCTTTAGTACACCCATCACACACTCCATCAGTGACTCTCATTCCAAATTAAAAAGGTCTAGTTCTACTGCTTCATCATATATAATGGCTGCCATATTTTGTACCTTTTAATACTTTTCTAACCGTTCTAGTACAATTTCTAAAAACCCAACCTTATCTGAGCCCTTCGGCCCAAGAGTGACCCTCACCCAAAATTTCAAGATCCAAGCTTCAGCCGTTTCGTCTGGGCGTTGATGAATCGTTAAGTCAGTCAGTCACTCAATTACATTACTCTTTTATTAATATAGATAAAGTTGCAATGTTTGGAAAGCTTACATCACCTACAAACGCAATTCTGATGTAAACGCAACGTAAAAATATTGAAATTAAAGAAACTGTTTTTATACCCTCAGCCATATGGCTACAGAGGTTATATACAATTTGATACGGTGAAAACGTGACTTGTCGAAATAACGGTTTTAGACCCTAGGTCTCTTTGGATCGTCCGTCTGTCTGTCTGGTGCGCACGAAAACTCTCCGATTTGGTCCAAACTGGGTACATCGTAATATTTTTGTCGAATTAAGATCAAGCTCGGAGATAAGCAATATCCACTCCCCACAAAAGGTCAAATTTTTCAAAAACTATATTTTTTGCACAGAAAGAGAAAGGATAATCCGATTTTGTTCCATATTTGCAAATCCTAATATTTACGTCAAAGCTAAGTCAGGTGAGCCATCAAGTACATTCCCAAAAATGGTCAAAATTACATGAATAATGTGATGTAAGAGTCCAATTGTCTTCAAATTTCACACCTCCCAATATATATATATATATATACATGTATATATATATATATATTATATATATATATATATATATATATATATATTATTTATTTATTTATATATTATATATTATATATTATATATATATATATATATATATATATATATATATATATATATATATATATATATATATCATATTTATTGAGGTCAGATACGAAATGGACTATATTGACCCATTCTTTCCAAACCCACTCCATAGAGGTTCAAGAGTTTGAAAATTCATAACAGAAGTCAAAATATTTTAAAATAATCGGCTGAGGGTATACATCTGTCGGCCGATACTTTTTTATTCATTATATTTTATATTTTATATATATACTTGAATAACAACCATTTTATCATATGCTCTTATGATTTTAGGATTTATATGAAAACGTCGATTACGGAGTTCTCCATTCCAATACCAAAATAAAAGTGAAGGTTAATCCATCCGGTGTTGTGATGTTAAGGGCTGAAGTTCACAATCATGCACTCCTACATATCTCCTGAAACTTTTACATTTAAAGTATATATGTTCATTTTTGTTCTGTTCTAAAACCAGCAAGAATGTATTAGTTTTTTAATTGTTTTCGATGTCATAAGGAAAAATTGGTTATCCTAGTAAAAAATTGTACATTCCTGCAGTTCTGGAACAGTTTGTTAAGTTGTTTTTTATATTATATATACATTAGTCTATAAGATGGTGTTGAAAATAAACTTGAATATAGAAAATATCTATTGTGTGCCCTTTTTTACTTATAAACTGACAATAAAGTAATGCAAATCAGACATATCATAAAATTCGGTAGCTATGTATAACATGGATGTATGCGTATGTATGCGACGCTTATATGTAATTCAATATAATAATAAAGTAAAAGGAAGAAACGCTCTGTTCTGGTCTGGTTGAGTCCTATGCTGACATGTATGGAAATGGCGTTTAAAGCTGTTGTCGTGCTATGCCATTTTCGGAATCCGTGTTGATGATCAGCTACTGGGAAACACTATCTTATGCTGGGAAGGAATAAAGCCTCAAGCGTCTTTGGTACTGGTGACAAATGTGATATCGGCCTGTATGAATCACTTTTGCTGGCTACCTTGCCTGGCTTCAGTAGCGGGACCTCCCTGCACACTTTCCAGGAATCGGGAACTATAAGGTTGAGGAGTTTCGAGAGCGACTTAACCGTTGCCCACAATTTACTCGTTCCGATCCAGATGTTCTAGCCACTTTTTTTCGCTTATTCTCACCGACTAACCTGTTTACCTCCAGAGTAAGTTCCCTGACTCTGGGGTTATTAGGGTTAGTGCGGCGAAGCTCATCTCGCTCATTTGCTAATCCCGCTGCCTCTGCTGGGAAATTTGGTCTTATTTCAAGTATTCGACCAGCAGGTATATAGCGAGCGGCTGTGGCTTTGATGATGTCCCGAAAGCTACCTGAACATCAGATGGGTTGGGCAGTTCTCTGAAGCGGCGATTAGTATATTTTCTGAAGTCTTGCCAGTTGGCTTTCCCATGGTTAAGGAAAGTGCGACGTTCTGAGTCTATGAAATCGGGTCTGAGCCTAGCGAAATGACTGATTGCCACGTCATTCGTCAGACCTGGGGACACGATGGATGAGTCCGGCGAACTGTGGCAGTCTCCCCTAATTCTGGTGGGCGCTTCCTCATTCACTGTGCAAAACATAGAGCTATCGATTTGCTCAACCAGCGCCATGCCTCTCTGGTCATTACCTGGGATGGAATGCCATAGTTCATGATGGGCATTGAAATTCCCTAGTACCAGACGGTTATTGCCTAGCAGCTATTTAAAGGCGGAATGTACAACTCAACATCCGCGGTTCCACACTTGACCGCTACCCCCATACATTCCATGTACGGGTCACTGGACAGAGTGGTGCAATAGGAACGCTAATACTCCATCACAACTTTGAAGCCTGAATATTTTTAAGAATTTTTGGCACATTTTTTCACGAATTTGTCTAAAAATTACTATTTGTTGGTCATAATGGGTTCTAGCTCAGGTGGCGAAACATTGCATGTATAGGTGCACGTTTTGGGATAGCCCCATATAACGGTACCTCCCGATATTCGGTATTTTGATGGTTTTTGTCACATTTTTTCACGAATTTGTCTAAAACATTTCTTCGCGGATTTGTCTAAAACTTGGTATTTGTATGTGACTCTTCTTAATCGGGTTCTGTCTCTAAGTCCAGTCTCAAAAAGGATGCTACCTGTACGTGTTGAGTCGACAACAAGGCTGGAGTTAGGTGAGTAGGTTTGGCTGAACAGCGAAAAAGATGCAGCGTGTCATGTGGTTCTGTGTCACAAGCTGGGCAGATGTTTTGCACATCGCTGTCGATCCGAGCCCAATGGGAATTGAGGCGACTGCATCATCCGGATCTTAGTTGAGCCAAAACTACTCGGGTTTGTCGGGCAGCTCTCGCTCTTCAGCTGCGATGGAAGGGGATAGTCTCCTAATACAGTATTCATTCTATATCCTTCAATAACTTCTGAGACCGCTTTAGAGTGAACACTATCCAGTCCCGCCTGCTAGGCCTGTTGATCTAGAGACTCTCTCTTATACCTTTGTACCTCTCTCTATAGATCATGAAGGTCTTTCCTTACGTGCCTGGGCGGAGGTTGCTTATCCACCAGGTGGTGATTCGGATGCCTCTGTCGCTAACAACCAAGCAGGTATTGCATTAACAGCTTTTTATTATGCTGTCGTACAGGTAAGACCTTCGAATCCTAATTTAGATGGTCGACAGGTGTCATGAGAAGGTACCCTGTTGCGGCTCTAAGGGCAGCACTCTGACAGGACTAAATATTTTTCCACTGTACTCTATTTGATCTATGCCGTCTGAAGGGCGTGGAATGTCTGAAAGGTAGAGGTTAAACAGTTCCGGAGATATCACCCCAACTTGGGGAACTCCCTGTTTCACTCTATGGTAGCTCGACTTCTTGTTTCCGAATTCCACGTACGACTGGCGTCCACACATGTAGTTTACGTTTCAAACTTGGCCAGAGGGCGGTGCGTCTAATGTACTCGAACAGTGTGGAATGATTGACACTATCAAAAGCTTTTAATAAATCAAGTGCACCATCACACGGCCTGGGCTGGTTGAGTCCTATGCTGACATGTATGGAAATGTCGTTTAAAGCTTTTGTCGTGCTATGCCATTTTCGGAATCCGTGTTGATGATCAGCTACTGGGAAACACTCTCTTATGCTGGAAAGGAATAAAGCCTCAAGCGTCTTTGGTACTGGTGACAAATGTGATATCGGCCTGTATGAATCACTTTTGCTGGCTACCTTGCCTGGCTTCAGTAGCGGGACCTCCCTGCCCACTTTCCTGGATTCGGAAACTATAAGGATGGAATGACAGGTTGAGGAGTTTCGAGAGCGACTTAACCGTTGCCCACAATTTACTCGTTCCGATCCAGATGTTGCAATGCTTCAGATGTTCTAGCCACTTTTTCCGCTTATGCTCACCGACTAACCTGTTTACCTCCAGAGTAAGTTCCCTGACTCTGGGGTTATTAGGGTTAGTACGGCGAAGCTCATCTCGCTCATTTGCTAATCCCGCTGCCTCTGCTGGGAAATTTGGTCTTATTTCAAGTATTCGACCAGCAGGTATATAGCGAGCGGCTGTGGCTTTGATGATGTCCCGAAAGCTACCTGAACATCAGATTGGTTGGGCAGTTCTCTGAAGCGGCGATTAGTATACTTTCCGAAGTCTTGCCAGTTAGCTTTCCCATGGTTAAGGAACGTGCGACGTTCAGAGTCTATGAAATCGGGTGGTATGTTGATGGCGACAATAATGGGGAGGTGGTCTGAGCCTAGCGAAATGACTGATTGCCACTGATTGTTTCCAGGATCGCAGCGACCTTGATATTCTTCCGACTCATGGAGCTTACAATTTCGTTTTTCTTACCTCGGACACCATGGCAGTTAATTTGGAGAAACGATACATTGTCCGAAACTTGAACAGCAAAGTGTGGCGTCAACTGCTGCACGACTTGCTGTTGTGGGGGAGTCTCATACTCCGACGACGATGTGAACGACGAAGATGAGGACTCACTGGGGTCCACAATGGCGCAGCAGGAAGCAAACTAGTCCCTATGGCTATACCGTTCCATTTAATTTATTTGCGATTGCGACGCAAATCATCAATCCGCTTAGTCCAATTTTGGCATACTTTTTTCAACATTTCGGCCAGTATTTTACGAATTATTTTGTCAATGTTGTCTTAGAAGGCGTCAATTAAAGCGAACTCATCTGTCTAGGTATGAGCTTAAATATAGCCCCACAAAAATATTCTAAAGGCGTTAATGTCACGATATAGACGCCTAATTGATTAGGTCCCGAACGTTAAATAAAATGTTCATCGAACTCTCTATGAGACCTTTAGTGTGGCATGTGGCACAGTCTTGTTAAAACCATCTCCTGGTTGCACTTACCATTAATAGTTACGTTACGTGGTTAATCCCACCATTTTTTAGACAATCATCAGATTAAAGACAAAGTGTTGCAATTGTATGTATTTCATTGAAAATAGTTTTTTTCATACTGTGACTTCAATTATGGTATCAAATAAATCGAGTATGTTGTGATATATTTTTGAATGACAAATCAATGCTTTACTCCAGAACTGCAATAAGGTAAAACTTGTTACTACCACAACCAATTTTTCATCTATGATATCGAAATAAAAATTCAAAACTAGTAGGTTCTTGCAGGTTCTGAAACAGAGCAATGATTAACTAGATTATCTGCCCTTAATATTATTACAATATATACACATGCTCTTCCAATTGTTTTCTTGAACGTTTAGTTAAAAATAAAAAAAAACAGTTGGGACAAGTTTGAAAAGATTGGTGAAAAAAACCTACTTTTATGACTTATACTGTTGGGATTACCATTAATACATCTTATTCATAAACGTTATTGAATTTAGTACACACAAAAAACATTTAGTTCGGCAGGAACGAACATTCAAAGTCAAAGACTCAAACACAAAATTTGAAACAAATGCGAAGCAAAATTTTTCTAGAATCATCAAAACACCTAATATCGGTTTGTTATGTTGAAACCGTGGACCAATATGGACAATGTTTTGACAACGGTCGTAAAACCCATTGTAAAATACAAATACGGAATATCAAGAAAAAAATCGAAAAATGTGACATAAATTGTTAAATCACTAAATATCTGGAGGTATCGTTGTAGAAAAATGTATACCTACATTTACAATGTTCCCCAACCAGATTTTGAACCCATTGAGAATACCTTATACCAAATTACGTGAAAATGTGGTTAAAATCATATTGAGAAATGGTTGTTTCACACCACCAGTAATGTTAATTTTTAAATTTCAAGATTTCAGCTCCATACATGAGTTTATACTTCCAATACTACCTCCTTACATCGACTCTACTTCTTAACCTTGATTCGCATTCCAAAATTCAAGTTTTTAGCTCTAACCGTTC